ATTTCCGCTCCTAGATTGCTCTTTGTGTCCGGGAAACCAAGACGCTCGCTTCGGTTTTCCGCGTTTCTGAAATCGCCGCGGGTCGATAACGCGCGACGCGTTAGTAAGAGGGGTTAATTGATTTTCGAGCCTTCGCGACGAGTCTTTCTACCCTCCTCGTTAGCGCACCCCCTATCTCCGCGGCCCTCTGCGAGGCTGCGGATTTTCTTCGGACTGAACGCGGAACACGGTAAATCGAAGATCTCCAGAGTTTAACGATTATCGCGAAACACGGTCTGCAAGTAAAGTCTCCGATAAGAGTTAATTATGTTCTTGGATAGTCATCTCGCGACTCGCGTTCGGAGAATTCGAGCCAGGTAATTCCTCTCTCGCCGAAAGTAAGCTCGAATCTCGCAGGCCCAACGAGATCCGGAATAAATTCCGAGGAGGAACAGGTCGTATTGCCCCGCGGAGGAAATTTGAATGTAAATCATACGATTACGGGAGAGCCGCGAGAAAGGGGTGGATTCCGTTTCTTGTCCGGAAGCGTCCGGCCGTGGTTGGAGAATAAAATTCTCCGGGGATCAGTCACGAGCGCGGCGTTTAATCCGACGAAACTTACCCTCGGAGGAAGGCTCGGCGAAGCGGAAGGGTAGCTATCTTATTTACCGGATCGGAGATATTATATACGGGGGAGGGTCGCGTTTCGATAAATCCGGGGATTTTTACCAATTCTAATTTGTCTTCCGGTGGTTGGATTTCCGGGGAACGCTTCGAAGATCGTTTCGTCGGGTCGAGGAAAATACGGGGGTCGGCGAAACTCCACGATCCCGGCGAGATTTCTTTTCGTCGATCGTGAATCGGACTCGGTTATAGGGGTAGAGAAAGTTACGACGTCTAAGGAAATTTAATTACTCGGAAGAAACCGTTTTAGGGCTCGAGGGTGGAAAGAATCTTGGCTGCATTAGGAATATTCGTAAAGTCTTGGTAAACCGAATTTGAGAATTCGCGCACGTTTGGCACGCTTGTTTCCTCGTCTCGGGGTACTCGTTTAATATTCATGTCGGCTTGTTCATGGGAACAAGATCATCTGTACATTTTTCCGGCGGCCGCGGCTACCACCTCGCACCTCCCTGGGAATCGAGGGAATAAATCGGCTTCGGCGGTGTGCACGGTATGCATAAGGAAGAACCGAGCTCGTAAATAGCGAAAGGATCCTCGCGTGAAAGGATATTTTCTGCTGCCGGTTCCAGCGTAAAGTGCCGTTTACCACCTGTCGATCACAGCTCCGGGACCACAGGTGGCGAACCCTTCTAAAGCGATTCGTCTCGCTACCCCCTCCGCGAGCGTCCTTTCGCGTCTCATTGTCGCGTTATATTCGAACAACTTCGTTTCACGCGGATCGTACATTGATTCGAGTATCGATCCGTCTGGATTGCGAGGTCGAGTAATGGCACACGCCAGTCACACGCGTGGCTTTCCGCTTTGCCGCTCTGGCCCGCTTTCGAGGGCCACTCGTATCGGATTTAAAGCTACTCGACGTTGGCTAATGATGTCCCGATTAAACCGTTCCGATTATTGCCCCGCGACTCGCTCGCTTTCGCTAATAAATAAAACGATAACGAATCGCGGAGATTTCGCAGCGCGAGATTTCGCCTCTGCGGCCCGATCGCTGGCTGCGCCGGGGGCCGATAAATTTCCCGCGATGACGATCCATTTTTCATGGGGGGGACTCTCGGAACTTCCGAGAGGTACATCGATACACACCGGGCACCGTGCTGCGATCTGGGATAAATTTCCGTGCAATTTCAATACGAGATCATTCCCCTTGTCGAGACGAGCCACCCTTTTCTGCCTCGCTCTGTATACACGGCTCTGCGCCGAGGACGGCCGGGTAAGGCGAGCGGACGGGAGCCTCGCCGGATATTAAAAATATCTTCCGTCGGCAACGGACAGCGATCGACTTCCGGTTTATCCGTTTTACTCTATTTCCAAGGCGTCCCCGGCGCTCGATTGCCCGCTTTCCAGGCGTCCTCGCCTCTTTTGCCTCTCGTTCCTCTATTTTCCTCGCCTCTTTCACCCGCTGTTCCTTCCATATCGCCTGCGTCCTGAATTCCGATGCCCGTGGACGATTCGCCGGGATACCAGACATCCCGTGCTTCAGAGCAACTCGCGAACTTGTCGCGAGTTGGCCGAGTTGCGAAAGATTCGAGCGTTTAACTAATCCTAATGCGGAAATTGATTCTATTCCCTGAGGAAAACTAATGTTCTACCTGCAAGTTGTTCTTAGAGAGTTAGCAAAGTAGATTAGGAGCGCCGAGCTCCGGGGATGTTGCATATTCCCGAAACCCGAGTATTTTGCCATAACGCGGTCTCGTTGCGAGTGTCCCTAATTTCGAAGATAAAGTCCCAGCAGTTCCGCCGTTCGCGCAGATGTAACCGCGTTAATAGAAATTCGCCGCGTGTCCCGGAGCCTGGGCCGCGGAGTAGACCACCAGCCCCCGGGTTCTTCCGTGATATCGTCATGGGTCCGCCATCGTCGACAATTGCTTTTCGAAGCTTTCGAAATGCAGCAGCACGGCTGAACATTTAATTAATTAATTAATCGTCTGTTGCGCGTCGCTATAAATAGCGTATTTTTTCCCAGCCTTTCATTCGCTCGCGCAGTTTCAAAATGCTTTAAAACGATATGGTTTCAGTGCCGGTTCATCCAAGCGTAGCCAGTGATATTCGCATTTTCCCGAGCGAATCCTCTTAATTACTTTAATGGACCCTCAAAAAGTAACGCGAACGTTGGACGTTCCCCTTTGAGCGATGTTCCCCGGCTTCTTTCCCGGGGTCGCGCAAACAGAAAGTATATTTCGGCGTCCAAACATCCTGTTACTCTCCTCACTCTACCTCCTTGACCCCTTCTCAAACCCGGCAAGACTTTGCCAACCTCTTGCTCCCAGCGACCCGAACTCGTCTTTCGTCCCGAGGAAGAACACAGCCTTGCGTGCAACGTTCGCGCGAACAACGCGTCGGAATGGAGACGCGGCTCCTCGTGGAATTCACTTCACGCGCGAAAATTATCCGCGATGGTTGGGGGGCAGAGCCGCGGATTTCGTTATCGGTCGCGTCGATCGAGCGAAATTGCGGGCCTGGAGAATGGGGGAGGGCAGACGACGATCGGGCCTCGAATACGCGATCGAAATTATAGGCGGTCGCTCGACGGGGCTCGTTCGCTCGCGTGTTGGAACGCGCGCGCGGAAAATTGCCGGCCGGTTCCGGTCGGTGCGCGGCCGCCAGAACGATTCGAGCTTTTGCCGACCACGCGACGATCGCGCTTGGTCCGAGGGAAATTTCAGACGCGCCGCGATTGGCATCTCTCGACTCGTGGCTTTTGAAAATGCCGGCAAATCGAAGCCGAGCTGTGCGTGATTGCGGCCCGCGTTTTCCGTCCTCGTTTTTCCATGCGTGCGAGCGCGGACGTGACTGCGGGACGAAACGCAGGGGGGTAGGGAATTTTTTCCAACCTCGTTACGCGGCTGGCAGTCGAGGATTTCGGGAAATAACCAACCGGGACGGAATATTTCCGGTGTATCCCTCGAAAGGTATCGCGTCTCGTCGACGCCGGCTGATAAGAACGTGGACGATCGATGATCGGATTTATCCGGTCGAAATTAGCGAATGAAATTCGACGTCGACGCGGCCGGTAATCCAATTGGATGGAAATCGGGAGCAAACAGTCGGATCGCGTACACGAGCCGGTCTAATTATTAATAATGCGACGAGTCACTGGCCAGATGGATGGCTGTTTGCGCCGCTCGACGAACGAGATTGGTTACTCGGGACGTGCATTACGGCCACGGTGTTCGTCGCTTATCAATGGACATCGTTGAAATTGCGCGTGTTTACCGAACGAGCCGCGTTGTCCGCGATCGGAAAGAAGAGAGCCGGTTCGCGAATGGATCGGCTGGCAGATGCTCCGTGATTAGTGTTCGCGATCAATGGAAGATATTAGCGCGGCGCACGGCCAGCGCCGAACAGCGCTGATTACGCAACGGAATTTAGGTAAACCGGTTACCAGATTTACTCGTCGTTCCGTGTTCCGCGTGCTCTCTTCCGCGCTGTATCCCGCACCGCGACTCCTCCGTTCGAAGGAAACCAACCCCTAAACCCGGCCATTTACCCGATCGATAATTTCGTAAGTAAGGAGAATCGAAGCGCGAGCGGAAATTTCGCGACGCTGAACCGGCGAAGGGCCTGTCTGATCGATATTCCAGCGATCGGTTCGATATTAAGCCACGTTCCTGCTACGGGAGAGTGTATCCCGACTTTACGACTGGTTTTTACGGGTTCCCCGTGAATTCTCCGCTCGCCCGAGGGTGTCGGTTACTCTTCCACCCCCTGAGCGTGTGCTACATGTTTCAGTATTTCGGTTAGCTGGCGCCAGGATTGCAGACTATTCCCGTGCACCGTCCGCCTCTCCCCTCCGTTCTTCCTGCACCCTCTCTACACCCCTATCTTCCTAACCCCGCGACCCCTGCCGCGTGCTTGTGTGTTCCTTCGAACTTTAACGAGTTTGTCCTATATGTAATCGCGTCGGTGGCGCAGCGACGTCGAAACATCAACGACAAATTGGATTTTGAAACAGTCTGTACGTGACCGCGGTACCGTATCTCGCAGACGCTTCGATGGCGAAACGGAGATCCGGCTGGGGTACGATTTACGATACTGCCTAGATCCTTTCGACTCGACCCCTCCACGGTCAGGCAGGGGGCGAGTTTCGAGACTGGACGTCGTAAAAACGGCGAAAAGTCATCGTTCCACGATCGCTGAGCTGATGCACCGGCAAGGAAATCGAGCCTGCCCAGCCATGATCGATTCCCCCTTCGATTCTCGACCAATAATGATATCGTCCATCGATCGAACGTTTAGGATTAACTCGAGAAATTCTCGAAACGAGAGACTCGCGTACGATTTTGAAGCAGAGGCTGTTCGGAAAGATGGTGAAGAATGAAAAATTTTGTCGGTTACAGTGAAGTATCTGAGAGAGGTGACACCGTACTTCAGAAAGGCCTCGATCATCCAGGAAGTGGGCTGGGAGTTGCAGCGCGGGTTCCTGAGCGCGACGCCACCGCCCCCCAAGTCGCCACCGCGAGCGGATACGCGTTATCTGCCGTTGCAACTGTGCAGACTCACCAGGGCTCATCCTTCCTCGGATCCTGGTAAGTTCTTTCATTTCTCGGCTATCCGCGTACAAGCGCCGCTTAATTCCTGCGTCGAACGACGCCGGGGTAGCTCGACGAAATTCCTGAACGGGAGCGTGAAAGCGGAAAACGCGTCGACCCAACGACAAACGCGAGAGCGTTAATTAACGCTGTTCCACCGTCAAACGGACCGCCTCTGTTGGCTGCGAGAGAGCCTGGTCCTTTCGCCATATTTCGCTCGCAGACTTTATTCCAAACTAAAAAATCCGCCCGTGGCGCTCCCTTCGTTGCAGGGATGGAGGGTGCAGATTGGCTAGTAGGTTAAGTTCTAGTTTCTCGTTTGGTCGGCTCGTCGATCCCGGTTTGTTAGCCGACTCGGCGCGTTTTAGGGGTCGCTCTGCCGCGATTTCTGCGATGTTTATTTTCAACCCTCCCGGGTGACGCGGGATTCTTTGGCTTTGATTTTAATCGCATTCCTGCTAGCGTTTGACACTCGTGTCCGGAGTTTCGCTTTTGTCCGTGGAAATAACGAGCAAAGGGAGATCCGGTGCTTCCGTTCTAATACAGAGACAGAGTCCGCGGGAGTTGGACGCGAGTTCGGCGCGAGTTCGGCGAGAGTTCGGCGTGAGCGGAGGAACGATGAGAGGGGGTTGAAAAAGTCGGTGGAAGCGCGAGTGGGAAATCGAATAAACGAGACGAAATTTCTCTTGCCCCTCACGTTTAGAAGTAAACGTTTCAGCGGAACGTAGCCGGGATTACGTGCACAAGCCGCGTCTCGTGGGTGGCGCTCCTCTCGAGAGCTGCGTGCTCAGCGACCGAGATAATGACAGCCATAACGCAATTAACCCGTTTCTGGCATTACAGTCGAACGAGCGTGCACGGCGCCGGCGTGCCGCGAGTTTGACAGTCAATTATCGTCTAATAGAACGACAACTTTGCGCGAGAAAAGCTTCGCGTCGCGATTACGTCCGTCGTGACACGCTTCTCGATGCCTCTTACGAACTCGGCTCCTGCGTCGCGCTCTCTCTTCGATTCCCTCGCGTGCAGTTATCGTCGAGTTATAATTATCGTCCTCGGTGATTCGTATTCTCCGCGAGCGTGGAGCAAAAAGAACCCTCCCCGAGTCGCTCTCGCTCATCCTCCGAGAGCGAAGTTTCTATTTTTCCCGGGCGCCAAACCTTTTCGAGCTCGTGCCAGGGATGTTCGTTTGAATCGTCGAGTAAAAGGTCTTTGAAACGATTCCGTGCTTCCCGTCTCGCTGTCTTTCCTAGCGATCGTCGCTTAAGCTCGAGCAGGCTGCATCCGCGTCACTTCCGGCCGTACGTAACGCGGCTCCACCCCTCGGGCCCGAGGACAATAGGGGATGAACTCGTTCGCGTGTACACCAGATGGTGGTAAGTGGCTCCCGTGGCTGAATGGATCCGGTTTTCATCGAGATGCCGCCTCTGTCTGTTCGTTCGAGGGACACGGCCACAAAGAAGGGGTTGGAAAAGAGTATCCGTCTCCCCTCCGCGGATCCAACGTCGAGTTAATGAAAGGCTAATGGGCTCTTAATTCTGTAGAGCTCCTTCCGGGATCCCCTTGCCGGCTCCCTCCAACTGACTGTCAACCCTCCGACGTTTCTCTCTTCCCTGCTCGCTCTCGTCCTTCGTCCCTCGATAACCATCTCCGTCCCACTTGTCCGGGGTGCCTTCGCGTCGTTTCAAAACTGTCGTCCTTTGCCCGAAGGAACTCGCGTTCCCCTGCTTTTGTCCCGGTTACTCTCCTCGCCTGCTTGTCCAAGAATTTCTAAATAAAGTCTCGTTTGCTTTCCGATTTTTTCACCGTCGCCTCGCCCCCCTCTTCGCTCTCTCTCTCTCTCTCTCTCTCTCTGCCATCGACGAGCCTCCCTTTGAATTCGCCCTTCTTTCTTCATCGCGTTATTACCCACTCTCGTCCGCCTCTGTCCCGGTTCCCGGTTCTCGCGTCTTCGCTTCTCGTCTACTGGAAAAAGGAAATTACCCCGGAGCACATAGGTCGATGGGGGGAGGAGTACGTAGGTTCGGCTGGACGGAGGAACCGGTCTGTGCTCGGTCCGAGAATTGCGGAAAGCAATCAGGATCGTGCCGTATCTCCCGTTCGTACCCGCTGCACGGCGGTTAAGTCAGCCAAGTTCAGGCTGAGTCGCCTCTTCCGGATAGGTTACGATATTTTTCGAGTCAACAGCCACGGTCTGAAGCGTTGGATTCCCGGCGCATCGGCGTGTTTATTCTGTATCACTGGCCGCGGATAGTCGACGGATCTGGGAATCGGCAGGGACACCATGGGCAAACATCGCGCTCTGAGAACTGTCGTTAACGTCATCCGGAATTTGCTGGTCCGATATTCAAGGTTCTCGCGCTTCCGTCTTCGTTCCACGCGTTTATCTTCGAGCCGGCGGACCTTGGAGTCGGAAATTAATGAAACCGGTTGGTCGTACAGGGGAAGCAATAACGAACGGCAATATCGGATCGAGCAAACATCGTCTGGGTGGAAGATTTTCGCCGGCAAGGTCGGTACCTCTGCTCGCGGGAAAATCGCGCGTTAGAAACGAGTAGAAAGAATGGTAGACGGTTAATGGCCTCCTCTTTCGCGGAGAGGACTGGCGCTGGGTGCATTGGAACCGCGTCTACGCTCGTACGGGCGCGTTAAAATTTACGGTAAATCTCGACGCGAGGGTGGTTTCCATCAGCCGCGCGAGAGACGCGTCACGTTCGACCGGAATATCTTTTCAAGAGTTTATACAGATGCCGGGGATTTCCGCGGCGGGGAGAAGCTTATTTACAATTTATCGCGACACGTAGCGGCGCCGCGTACGCTACTGACGGATGGATAATTGTTATTTCGCACTCTTCGTCCCACGGCGTCGTGGAAATATGATTTTATACCTTCTCGGCGCCCACGGCCACCCCCCGTTCGCTCCTGTGCACCCTGGCCGCCAGTCGCGTCCGATATCGCCTACCTCTTCCTTCCTCTCTTCCCTATCTGTGCCCTACTTTTTCTTCTCTTTTCTTCGCTAATGTATAACGTATAAGAATCGATTACTCCCGGTCTCCTTGATTCTTCGCTCTTCACCCCCTCTCTCGTTCCCCCTGGATCCACTTTGAGGTTCTCTCGCCTCTATTACCGGACTGGTCAGATTTTCCTCTTCGCTCGCGTTTACTCTGTTTGACCGGTGGAAAAATTCGGAAATCTGCACCAGCGTAAACCAAGTATCATGTCCGTGTTTTACCCCAACCCCGAGTAACGTACCACCGGATGGAAGACAGCGCGAGTTGGACCAACGAGAGAACGAAGGGGCTCACCGTTGACCGAGGGCAAACACGAAATGGAGGCAGCCAGGCTCGCCGATATTAGAGCCAAAGTGTAAAAAAGGAGCAGGGTCGAGGAGGAGCGCGGGGAACGGAGGATATCGACTACCGTTCGCGGCTCTATCTACGAATTAAAACAGACCAGTGGACGCGTGAACGGTACAATGAAGATTGGCTAATTGAATTAGCGGGCAGCCGGGAGCGACCTGGATAGGCGGAGGCTTGCATAACCCGCGCTGCCAGGTTTTAGGCGAGTTCCATTAAAAGGAATAGAGCCAAACGAACCGCTGGAAGAACGGCCCTTCGCGACTCGTCCAATTAAAATCACCTGTTAATCGTACGAATATCGACGCGCACGCGCCCCTCCACCCTCGCGAGATCCATCTCAGCTAGTCGCTGTGTGTTATCCAGGAGAGGAGAGCTCGCGCGAGTCGGGCGAGTAGGCAAACTGACGAGAGAGGGACCATTTATCCACGAATTTTAGCCAAATTTCCATTATCCGCGCCGTATTGTCCGCTTCGAGACGATGCACGGACGCGTTCCGACATGGGGCGGTATTTTCATTGCCACGCCGAGGAACTGCCAAAGCGAGACACCGGATCCGATCTCTAATTAATGCCACGGAGTGGCACTCGAACCAGGCGGCCGGCATCGGGTTGTATCCGCAACGGTGGATCGAGTGCTTTGACCAGATCTATGACACACTTTCCATTGCCTCTCGTGCCCCGTGAAATCAAACGAACCTGGGAAACATCGATTCCGCGGCGCAGTGTATATTTAGTTTTTCTCCTGGTCGATTCATCGCGGAATACCCGCGCCTCTCCGATTTCGATTGAGAGACACAACGAGCGAGCGGGAAGAAGGGTGCAGCAGAGACGAGAAGGGTGGAAATCGGCGAGGGTCGATGGCGAAGGCTCGAGATTCGACTGTACGCCACTGGTTGGCAGGGCGGAGGATGCGAGAGTTAAATTAGTTTCCGGGGCAAAAGCTGGCTGCCGCCTGGTTTTCAGGGCTAACCCCGTGTATAATTCCAGAACAGCTCCATCAGGCTGGAACCCACGAAGAACCTTCCATCCAAACCATCTACCATCCACTGCTGACGCCACTACCACCGCCACCCTTAGCCGCTATCAACCATCTCCCCGACCCGTCCTTTAAGCGTTCGCCTTGCCAGACTTCGCGGGGGCTGCAGTTTGCGAAGTTAATTACCGTCGGATAATTGCGCTCTATATGCCGGCCGGCTGATTAACGAGCCTGGATCAGCCGGCAAGTCGGTTTTCCTCTCTTTTGTTTCCCCGCTCGGACACAGAACGATTGTCTGCTGCTCGGTGATTATGTCTCGCGGGGTGGGTCGTTCGGTTTCGTTGTCACGCGGCTGCGTCGCGATTTTCGGAACACGGGTTACCTACCTCGTACGGCCACTGATCTCCGCGAAAATTATTTTCTTGTCTCACGCGAGGCTGTGTGGTAGCCCGGATGGCAGTCTCATTAGCATTCGCTTGAGGAATCGAAAATTAATTCGGGTCGCCGAAGGAGACATAATAGGTTGGCAAAGTCGCTCGGCTTTGCTCGCGATCCGGCCTGTCGCTTGCCTCCTATCGCGATCGAATATTCAGGCTGAGGTGAGAGGGGAATACGAAGCGCGTGTAGCGGGTTCACGGTGTTCCCGGGGAATCGATTCATTCTTTA